GGGGGATTGACTGGGGGGAATTGTCCTAGACATGTTTGTAAATAAAACATTACATTTTGTAGGTGAGAAAGATGCCGTTAATCATAAATCTCGTGGGACCAAAGTAGGAGTGCACTACATGGCCACAGTTAAACCAGGAGAACAGCAAACATTTCAAGTCCGTTTCTTCCTACAGTCTGAAAAACCTGACACCAACAGCTGTTTTAGTAGTGAGAGTTTTGATAAGGTTTTTGCGCAGAGAATGAAAGAAGCAGATGAGTTTTATGAAAAGGTAATTTGTGATATTGAGGTTGCAGTGTTAGATGCTGTTTAAGGAATAAGAGATTTCCCTAACTTTTACTTAGTGATGGTGATATGGTCAGTGTTCAGTTTTGCAGCTGCAGAAGACAGTAATGATTTGCCCCTCTTAGTGTAGATTTTGTTTAACTTTCTGTAATGATTGGGACCTTTTGTATGGTGAAAAATTACCTTTCAAATACGTAACTTTGGAATCATCAAAAAATACATATTTCTGTACATCATCTGTGGTGCTTTAACTGTAAAGAACATAACTAAAGGTAGGCTGGTTTTCAGTTTTGTTGTAACCACTTAATAAGATTGTTCTAACTTAAAAATTTATGACTTAAAATAATACAGTGTCTTTAAAATTCACAATTTTTCCCATTGAAAAGATGGAATCATTAAAGTGCCAGGAATTCATTTGATGAAAATGAATTCCTGGCACTTTTAATAAGGGCTTAACACTGAGAATTTGCTGTTTTGAACCCAAGTTGTTGAAATGATCCCTAAGAAGAAAATACATAAAAGTATATTTCTTATATGTAGGCCATACCAAACAAGTGCCCTCAGCAAAGAGCTGTTGCCCGTCAGGCTTATGCTGGTTTATTATGGAGCAAACAATTCTACCATTACATCATCAAGGACTGGCTGAGTGGAGACCCAGAGATGCCTGCGCCACCTAGAGAGCGTTTTGAAGGCAGAAACAAAGAGTGGGGTCACTTATTTAATAGGGATGTCATATCTATGCCTGATAAATGGGAGTACCCATGGGTAAAGTTTCCTTATGCACTTTTAAATTTTATTTTGGTCAGTGATTTCATATTGTTTAAAATTACACAAATAATTTCTTCAAAAAACAGCAAATTTCAAAGATAAACTGGTCAGCATATGCCCATATATTGCCTGCCTGTTTCATATTCTTTTTTTTTAACTACCACTACCACTAAAAACACTCAGGTACACTTAAGTGGAAAACATAAGGAGCAATTTGTAAAAACATTTTGATATATTTTAGTATGCCAGCTGGGACCTTGCCTTCCACATGCTTCCATTTGCTGCCATTGACATTGACTTTGCCAAGGACCAGCTGTTACTGTTTCTCAGAGAATGGTACATGCACCCAAATGGACAGGTGAATTTTAGTCTCTCCATGCAGCCTTGTTGTTCTCTCTGCAACTAACAATGTTGTTTTGTGTATGCATTATCAGTTGGAATATTAATTCCTCTTGCATGTACTAGTGTCAGAACAGGTGTACTGTTGTACCGGTATATGCAAGCTTGCCTAATTACTGCATCAGAGTATGAACACTATACAAATGTTCCACATTTTGGCACAACCCACTGAGATTCCACACCACCATGATGACGTGTATTAAATGTTTTGACACAAATGAATAAAACTATAAAATCACATGGAAACAGTGGTAAAACGGTCTGGTTTATACATATAGGTGCTCCTATTATTCCTGGCCAGTGCATGTATGTAGTAGGTTGTTTTGGATTTAGAGAGCAATGCTCCAACTGCTTGCGTATGTCTCTCCACATCAGTGAGTGCTAACATTGTTTTTTGTTTCCTGTGCCCTGCAGATCCCTGCCTATGAGTTTGCCTTTGGTGATGTTAACCCTCCCGTCCATGCCTGGGCCGTCAGGAAGGTGTACAAGGCAACTGGACCCAGGGGCAGCAGAGACCATAGGTTTCTAGCTCGTTGTTTCCAGAAGCTTATTCTGAATTTCACTTGGTGAGTCCAGCTGTTCTTGTGTGATTACAAAAGTTTATAGCTTAAAAAGATTATTGGTTTATTATTTGTGTTTAGTGGCATTTGTATGTATTTTGTAAAAGCCATTTGTATATTATGTTGCAAGAGAAGCTCTTGGTGTATCTTGCTGAGAAAATAAGCAAATTTGTTTATTTAATACTTTGCTTCTTCTGTGTTTTGTGCTTTTCATTTGAAAATGACTAAATGCATGTAACGAAAAATTTTAAGAACTATACCAGTGTCCATTTAGACTGAAATAACATTTTTATTACTTATGGTTGAAGCACCAAATGATTAGGTGAGTACCGTATATATTTTTACGATTGCACCTACTTCGAGGTACATGCAATGTAGTGTATTTAATATCTAGTGATTGAATTTTTCTTATATTCAGGTGGGTCAATAGAAAAGACCCGGAAGGAAAGAACCTATTCTCTGGTGGATTCCTGGGTCTGGACAACATTGGAGTATTTGACCGCTCCAAGCCATTGCCCCATGGGGGACACCTAGAACAGGTGATAATGCTTTCCTGACCTTACTCTAAGATAACATTTATTTTAGTGAAATATTTGGATAACTTAACTTAAGTATCTGTATAACAGTTTGTTCACTACATCCATTTACTATTTAGAATTAATTTATTGTATTTCCCAAGGCTGATGGCACAGCATGGATGGCGTTCTTCTGTGTGATCATGTTAGATATAGCTCTGGAGCTGGCAGAAGTGGACCCAGTCTATGAAGATATGGCCAGCAAGTTCTTTGAGCACTTTGTGGCCATTATGGATGCAATGAACAAGTTGTCTGGTGGAAAAGGTAAGGACAAATGATACGTATAAATATATATCTTGTGCCAGCTATTGATTTTTGATAGGTTTGAGGAATAAAAAGGTTTTAGGACCTAATTAAGAAATATTGCTTCCTTGGAAGATAAGTGTATCATTTCAATGGTGCTTGTGGTGCTTTAAAAAATTCACGAGAGAATTATTTTAAAGGTTCACTATATTGAAACTAAATTAATTTCAATTTTTTTTACATCTTTTAGGTTTGTGGGATGAGGATGATGGTTTTTACTATGACCAAATCAAATTTGGTAGTAAAACTGAAATTTTAAAATTGCGCTCTATGGTGGGTTTGGTTCCACTTTTCTCTTGCCTTGTGCTGGAAGAATCTAGAATCAAGAAGTTGACTGGATTTTACAAGAGGACAAAATGGTTTCTGGAAAATAGGAAAGACCTTGCTGACCAGGTGTTTATTGCTAAATCATGATTTTCTAGTATTTTTTAAACCACATTTATTGACTATTGAATAAATTTTAATATGATTCCACTCAAAAATTCAAATTGTTTCTCTCAGATAAAAACATCTTTAATTTGTATTTTGGATTCAATATTTCATGGGAATAAGTGTTTGTTATTTTTCAGCTTAAAAAAAGACCTTTTGATTGAGAAATTGACTAAAGCACACTAACTTGTCACAAACCAATTGTTATGTTTGAAGTACTTTTAAGTTAAAACAATGACTGTAGTTTAGTTTATAAGGTTGATGAAAAATTATATTGTCACTCTTTACCTTTAAGTGATGAATAAAGGAAGATGTCATTTCTGTTATAACAGATTTCCTTAATGACCACAGAGACAGGCAACAAAGAGAATCTCCTGCTTGCCATCCCAACAAAGGAGCAGCTGGTGAGAGTGTTGGAATATCTGTTAGATGAGAAGGAATTCCTGTCTCCATATGGTATTAGGTCTCTGTCCAAGGTAAAATGACCACTGTGATGGCTTCAGTGTTTTGGGCTTTTTGAAAGCTGATGTCTTACTTGATATTATACCCCTTTCTCTGGATAGATAGAAATGGTGTTGCTTTTGTAGTTGTCAATTCAACATGTTTGTCCTAAACTGAAATATATAGTTAAAATCTTATTTGTGAATTTATTTGAACATGTAAAGTATTTAAGAAATTTGAGCCTTGTTGCATTTTTAATCAGTTTTAAATATTTGGATGTCATAGAATTTATGATGCATAGTTATGGTGTATAATATGTTCATTTCAGATTTATGAAAAATATCCATTTGTGATGTACTTTGATCTTGATGAGAAGAGAGTTGAGTATGCACCAGGAGAGTCCACAACTGTGCTGTTTGGTGGCAATAGCAACTGGAGAGGACCCATTTGGTTGTGCAGTGAGTATTGTAGTCATATACATCATTTCAACCCTACACACACACATACTACTACAAACACACATACACACACATGCACAGAGACAGAGAGAGAGAGAGAGAGAGAGGGAGGGAGGCAGGGTAAAGTTGGGAGGTATGTTGTCTTATTGCCTTTGCAAAATTGAATTGTGTGTGCACATCCACATGTGTGCATGCATGATTGGGGATTATTTCTGAAACTGGAGATAGTTTTGATGAAAGGCTCTTGTTAATGATTATTTACTGTTGTGCAGATTCTTTCTGTGTAAATAACATAAAATATATTTCTATTTTTTTCCAGTGAACTATTTAATTGTTGAGGTTCTAAAAAGATATGACTTCTTCTATGGTGACTCACTGAAGGTAGACTTTCCTACAGGCTCAGGAAACAGCATGAGACTGAATTCTGTGGCAGACAAGTTGTCAGAAAGATTGACCAGAATATTTCTCCCAGATGAAGATGGCAGACGACCCTGCCATGGTCAGTATAGATTTACAGAAAAATTCAACATTTAAGAAAAGAAAGAACACATTTTACTTTATATTTTTAATCAAAATAGTTGAAATTGTTTAAGTTATCAAATTATTAAAAAATCATATATATCTGATCATTCTTTGTGTAGGAAATGCTTCAAAATATGCACAAGATCCCCACTGGAAAGATTTAGTGTTATTCTATGAATATTTCCATGCAGAAGATGGAAGAGGCTGTGGGGCCAGGTAGGTTCTTGAAGCCAGGATTATTTTTTTCTTCAAATTTCACTCATTATTTATATTCTTTATTGTCATATAATAATGTTTATTTACTTCATAAAATATCACATTGAATATTTAAGTGTTACATCATCCATATGCCAATTTGAACATCTATGTTTAATGAGCTTTAAGGTCGAAAACAATATTTACTTGTACTACCTTTGCAGTTCATTGCTTTGACTTAATATTGTTATTGAAAGCTAATAATAATAATAATAATAATAATAATATGCATTTTATTTCAGTCATCAAACTGGCTGGACTGCATTGGTTGTGGACTTCTTAAGAGCTTGCATTCCAGAGAAATAGCAGTACAGCCTTATGTAGGAAAATACCAAACTGTACACTGTGTAAGGCGCAGAGGAGCATTGGAAAATTAGTAAAACTTAAATAGAGTAAAATGTTCTGTGTGCAATACATGATCTGAATAGCATCCAAATTTTTGGATTCTGCATATAGTGCCAGTACTAGACAATTAACCCAGAATTCTCAATGCATAGTTACAAATATACAGTTGTAAGGTGTAGAAGGTGAGTAATGTTTCATATTCAAGGCAAGATACTCAGTTTAATATAGTTAAAGCAGAAATTAGAGTTAACCTCATGTATGTTTCTTACAGGGTATTTTCATCAGATGAAAACAATACTCTTGTATTCAAGCAAAATTTAAAAACAAGGCAGCAAAGCTTTCAGACAAAAAAATAAAAAAAATAAAGCTGCACAGAATAAGTTATTTTGTCAACTTTGGTGCAATAATACATTGTGCTTAACAGCAAATTAATGCAAATTTTAATTATGCACAACAGATAACATGGATGTTAGGAATATGTAACTAGCATAAAGCTTTAGGTCCATGAGAGTTCAAATCCACGCACTGAAAATGCCAGAGTGAGAAAAAATGAACATTTCACAAAAAATTGCATTAACCCCAGAAAGAAAAATAATCCAAGCAGTCTTGATTTCCAATTTGAACTACATGTCAATCATAAGAATCATAACATATTTTATTTGGACATGTTGAAGAGCTGTGGTCAAATCAAAAAAGTTATGTTTCTTTTTTTGGCCAGGTTATTTCAGATCTCACATTGCATTTTTAGAAAGGTGTTATGTGTGATGAAGTGTATTTATTTGTCAACCTATAAACCCTTGAGAAAATCTGAACATTAACAATACACGCTCTCTCTCGCTCGCTCTCTCTCATGGCTAATTGCTTAAATTTTGTTTTAATTTGCTAATGGTTAACTTGCCACATATCAATTAATCTATATACATTGTGTTTGTCAAGTTACTTTGTAAATGCATTCATATACTATTCAGTATGGAGTAGATATGGAAGCTATTTGACACTATGGTTATGCATATAGCCACTTATGGGCCTGAAGTGAGTGGGTTTACACCATTTTCAGATAACACTTCTGTGGAAAACATATACAGCTTTAATACTTATCGATCTAACATATTGGGTAAGATTTTGTGAACCTGAGCAGATTATTCCTTTTATTCTTTCAAGACAAGTGCATTTTAGAAAATAAATGTAACTTTATTCCATACTTTATTAATTTTATTTTTTAATTTTCCATGCTCATGTGCATGCCAGGTTAATTATTTTAGAATAAGTTGGTTTAAGACAGCAATTTTTAATATGATGTTGTGAAATAAAGTTGTAGGTGGGCCTAAATCAGCCAATGTGTGCAAAACATATCTGGTGAATAATAGAAAATAACGTATCTCACATTGTATTGCAATAAAGAAAAAAAAAAAAACCAATGATATGGCAATCTCAAAACTATAATGTTATTGGTTAGAATAATTCTGCATTTTCTAGTATTAACTTGTGTTATACAAAATTATTATGCTTATTTCTTTAAGCAGTCTTGGACAAAAGTTAATAAATATGTTGGTCTATTAATGTTTTTATAAATTTTAGTAGATGTTTTAAATTTCAAATCCAGTTTCATCAGTTATGTAATTGTAGCATATTCAAGTTAGTGTGGCTTTCCATTCCTTGTGCTAGGAAATTCCTTTTTTTTCCAAAAACTACAATTTATTTCTTTGTAGATCTTGACATGTGATTGTTTATGTGCACATATGGTGTAGAATTTGAATAAAATTATCTTCATTGTCTTGAGGAAATAGTGAATTAGCAATTGTTCAATTTTTTGAAAAGTTTGACAAACAGTATTTCAATTCTTTATATGCTGACATTGTGTTAAGTATCACTGCCTGTCCACATCTACACTGTCTATGTAATCTTTTTCTTCCAATTTTTGATTGTACATGTGCTAGTTTGAAGTATGTATATAAAGTAAATATATAAATGGTACAATAATATATAAAAAATATGGATGGAAAATTCATAAAACTTTATTTCCATTTTGGTATATATAAAGGACCTTTCAAAGGACCAATAATTTTGTACATCTGTACAAATAAAATGTCCAACAAATAATTCTATACAAAATGGCGTGTATTCCAAAGTATCAACATTATACATGCTCAGTTGGCAAAGCTTACCAAAACAAACCATCTGAATTACAAGAAACTTCTCGAGTATTTCCTGTACAAGCTCAGATCAGTTTGCTATACACCAATAGGAATAATATATTACACAATCTTGGCTGCGTAGCTGCTATGCTTATGAAACCTGCCACAGTAATGAACACATGAGTGTGCAATGAATGTTGTCAATTTTAAAAAAAAAATCCAACATGCCTTTGTCAGCATTCTATTCCGAATTGAGTCTTGATATATATCAATTTGTCCAATGTCATTCTTAATTCAATGAAATCTCTTATATCTACACATGAGACAACACAAAACTAAATCACAATTTACATTCCAACAAAATCTGGGATTTCGAAACATTTCCAAAAATAATACCATTGCATCTTTTTAGAACACAAACATTGTGTTGTGATTTCCACACTGTCCCGGCAGCAGCACAAAGATTTTATCCATTTTACTGATACTAAGACACAACTTATTTCAATATACTGGAATTCTAATACGACAGCTGGTAAGGAGCAGTGAAAAAGTATCTGACATTCATATCACATACAACAAACAATGCTTTACTATCTGCAATGGCCGGAAGATATGCTTGCATTGCACTGCGACTAGGACTGATACAGTTTCAACAAAAGAGACCATTTCTTAGATCTTCTACTTGGAATTTTGGCCCTTTACCCTGAACTGTACTGAATCATGCAATTATTCCTGCTGCCAATGTATCTATAGACTTCCTGCAGATCTTTTTATTAATTCAGTGTTTTTTTTCTTTGTTTATTCAATCCTACAAAAGGGTATCAGCTGACCTACTGTTCACTGACATAAAACCTGAAACAAAATAAGACATAGCTTTTAATCAACATAGCATCACATATACACAATAGTGGGTGCACAGCTTCCAAAAATGAACCAAGTCAAAAATCATTTTTTCAATCTCTATAATTACTTGTTTTATATTCACTTTTCATTTTATAAGCATTTAATCGAACACATTTTGTTGCTTATCAAAAATTTACAAGCCAGCATAAACCTAGATCATTATTTCACTTTCTAAAGGCAAAACATCTGTACCTATTATTCAATACACTAAGTTTTCCTCTGTTTTACTAATGTGATGTTTCGTCACTGGCTGTGTAATCATCTGGTTTGGCCTCCCTTGGTTTGCCAGAGCCAAATATGCTTGAATTTCTAGAAGGTTCTGATTGGGCAACAGGGTCTTTCTTGGTTCTCGGGAGCAGTTTTAACTTTGGCCTGGCAGCTGCACTTTCTAGAGATGTGATTGAAAATGTGTTAAATTCAACATTTTATTTGTAAGATAGTTCAAATTATGCTCAGACAATGAAAACCAAACCTATGATACCCTCATATTTTAACCCTGCTTCATCCTCTATAGGCGAAATTCTTACTAAGGAATCAACAGGCACCATTAATTATGGTCTTTGGTATAACCAAACTGGTAAACAAAACCAGGGATCAACAGAGACAAGCACTTTGAAATAACTTAATTGCTTAACACCAAAAGTGGCAACCTAATAGGCTAGATCATTNTGTGTGCACATCCACATGTGTGCATGCATGATTGGGGATTATTTCTGAAACTGGAGATAGTTTTGATGAAAGGTTCTCTTGTTAATGATTATTTACTGTTGTGCAGATTCTTTCTGTGTAAATAACATAAAATATATTTCTATTTTTTTCCAGTGAACTATTTAATTGTTGAGGTTCTAAAAAGATATGACTTCTTCTATGGTGACTCACTGAAGGTAGACTTTCCTACAGGCTCAGGAAACAGCATGAGACTGAATTCTGTGGCAGACAAGTTGTCAGAAAGATTGACCAGAATATTTCTCCCAGATGAAGATGGCAGACGACCCTGCCATGGTCAGTATAGATTTACAGAAAAATTCAACATTTAAGAAAAGAAAGAACACCTTTTACTTTATATTTTTAATCAAAATAGTTGAAATTGTTTAAGTTATCAAATTATAAAAAAATCATATATATCTGATCATTCTTTGTGTAGGAAATGCTTCAAAATATGCACAAGATCCCCACTGGAAAGATTTAGTGTTATTCTATGAATATTTCCATGCAGAAGATGGAAGAGGCTGTGGGGCCAGGTAGGTTCTTTAAGACAGGATTATTTTTTTCTTCAAATTTCACTCATTATTTATGTTCTTTATTGTCATATAATAATGTTTATTTACTTCATAAAATATGACATTGAATATTTAAGTGTTACATCATCCATTTGCCAATTTGAACATCTATGTTTAATGAGCTTTAAGGTCGAAAACAATATTTACTTGTACTACCTTTGCAGTTCATTGCTTTGACTTAATATTGTTATTGAAAGCTAATAATAATAATAATAATAATAATAATAATAATAATAATAATAATAATAATAATATGCATTTTATTTCAGTCATCAAACTGGCTGGACTGCATTGGTTGTGGACTTCTTAAGAGCTTGCATTCCAGAGAAATAGTGGTACAGCCTTATATAAGAAAATACCAAACTGTACACTGTGTAAGGTGCAGAGGAGCATTGAAAAATTAGTAAAACTTAAATAGAGTAAAATGTTTTGTGTGCAATACATGATCTGAACAGCGTCCACATTTTTGCATTCTGCATATAGTGCCAGTACTAGACAATTAACCCAGAATTCTCAATGCATTGTTACAAATTTACAGTTGCAAGGTGTAGAAGGTGAGTAATGTTTCTTATTCAAGGCAAGATACTCATTTTTATGTATTCAAAGCAGAAATTAGAGTTAACCTCATGTATGTTTCTTATAAGGTATTTTCATCAGATAAAAGCAATACTCTTGTATTCAAGCAGAATTTTAAAACAAGGCAGCAAAGCTTTCAGACAAAAAATCAAAAAATAAAGTTGCACGGAATAAGTTATTTTGTTAACTTTGGTGCAATAATACATTGTGCTTAATAGCAAATTAATGCAAATTTTAATTATGCACAACAGATAACATGGATGTTAGGAATATGTAACTAGCATAAGGCTTTAGACCCATGAGAGTTCAAATCCACGCACTCTGAAGTGAGTGGGTTTACACCATTTTTAGATAAGACTTCATGAACCTGAGCAGATTATTCCTTTTATTCTTTCAAGACAAGTGCATTTTAGAAATTAAATGTTACTTTATTCCATACTTTATTAATTTTATTATTTAATTTTCCATGCTCATGTGCATGCTGGGTTAATTATTTTAGAATTAGTTGGATTAAGACAGCAATTTTTAATATGATGTTGTGAAATAAAGTTGTAGGTGGGCCTAAATCAGCCAATCTGTACAAAAAAATATCTGGTGAATAATAGAAAATAGGATATCTCATGTTGTATTGCAATGAAATAAATCCAATAATATGGCAATCTCAAAACTATAATGTTATTGGTCAGAATAATTTTACATTTTTTAGTATTAATATTCATATTATACAAAATTATAATGCAGATTTCTTTAAGCAGTCACAGATAAAAGTTAATAAATATTCTGGTCTATTAATGTTTTCAAGAATTTTATTAGATGTTTAAAATTTCAAATTCCGTTTCATCAGTTATGTAATATTGTAGCATATTCACATTCAAGTTAGTGTAGCTTTCCATTCCTTGTGCTAGGAAATTCCTTTTTTTCCAAAAATTACCATTTGTCTTTGTAGATCTTGACATGCAATTGTTTATGTGCATATATGGTGTAGAATTTGAATAAAATGATCTTCATTGTCTTGAGGAAATAGTGTATTTGCAATTTTTTTTTTTTTTTTTTTGAAAAGGCTAACAAATAGTATTTCGATTTTTTTACATGCTGACATTGTGTTAAGTATCACTGCCTGTCCACATCTACACTGTCCATGTAATCTTTTTCTTCCAATTTTTGTCTGTACATGCGCTAGTTTAAAGGATGTATATAAAGTAAACATATAAATAGTATGATAATATATAAAAAATATGGATGGAAAATTCATAAAACTTTATTTCCATTTTGGTATATATAAAGGACCTTTCAAAGGACCAATAATTTTGTACATCTGTACAAATAAAATGTCCAACAAATAATTCTATACAAAATGGCGTGTATTCCAAAGTATCAACATTATACATGCTCAGTTGGCAAAGCTTACCAAAACAAACCATCTGAATTACAAGAAACTTCTCGAGTATTTCCTGTACAAGCTCAGATCAGTTTGCTATACACCAATAGGAATAATATATTACACAATCTTGGCTGCGTAGCTGCTATGCTTATGAAACCTGCCACAGTAATGAACACGAGTGTGCAATGAATGTTGTCAATTTTTAAAAAAAAATTCAACATGCCTTTGTCAGCATTCTATNTTCCTTGTGCTAGGAAATTCCTTTTTTTCCAAAAATTACCATTTGTCTTTGTAGATTTTGACATGCAATTTTTTATGTGCATATATGGTGTAGAATTTGAATAAAATGATTTTTATTGTTTTTGAGGAAATATTTTTTTTGCAATTTTTTTTTTTTTTTTTTTGAAAAGGCTAACAAATAGTATTTCGATTTTTTTACATGCTGACATTGTGTTAAGTATCACTGCCTGTCCACATCTACACTGTCCATGTAATCTTTTTCTTCCAATTTTTGTCTGTACATGCGCTAGTTTAAAGGATGTATATAAAGTAAACATATAAATAGTATGATAATATATAAAAAATATGGATGGAAAATTCATAAAACTTTATTTCCATTTTGGTATATATAAAGGACCTTTCAAAGGACCAATAATTTTGTACATCTGTACAAATAAAATGTCCAACAAATAATTCTATACAAAATGGCGTGTATTCCAAAGTATCAACATTATACATGCTCAGTTGGCAAAGCTTACCAAAACAAACCATCTGAATTACAAGAAACTTCTCGAGTATTTCCTGTACAAGCTCAGATCAGTTTGCTATACACCAATAGGAATAATATATTACACAATCTTGGCTGCGTAGCTGCTATGCTTATGAAACCTGCCACAGTAATGAACACGAGTGTGCAATGAATGTTGTCAATTTTTAAAAAAAAATCCAACATGCCTTTGTCAGCATTCTATTCCGAATTGAGTCTTGATATATATCAATTTGTCCAATGTCATTCTTAATTCAATGAAATCTCTTATATCTACACATGAGACAACACAAAACTAAATCACAATTTACATTCCAACAAAATCTGGGATTTCGAAACATTTCCAAAAATAATACCATTGCATCTTTTTAGAACACAAACATTGTGTTGTGATTTTCACACTGTCCCGGCAGCAGCACAAAGATTTTATCCATTTTACTGATACTAAGACACAACTTATTTCAATATACTGGAATTCTAATACGACAGCTGGTAAGGAGCAGTGAAAAAGTATCTGACATTCATATCACATACAACAAACAATGCTTTACTATCTGCAATGGCCGGAAGATATGCTTGCATTGCACTGCGACTAGGACTGATACAGTTTCAACAAAAGAGACCATTTCTTAGATCTTCTACTTGGAATTTTGGCCCTTTACCCTGAACTGTACTGAATCATGCAATTATTCCTGCTGCCAATGTATCTATAGACTTCCTGCAGATCTTTTTATTAATTCAGTGTTTTTTTTCTTTGTTTATTCAATCCTACAAAAGGGTATCAGCTGACCTACTGTTCACTGACATAAAACCTGAAACAAAATAAGACATAGCTTTTAATCAACATAGCATCACATATACACAATAGTGGGTGCACAGCTTCCAAAAATGAACCAAGTCAAAAATCATTTTTTCAATCTCTATAATTACTTGTTTTATATTCACTTTTCATTTTATAAGCATTTAATCGAACACATTTTGTTGCTTATCAAAAATTTACAAGCCAGCATAAACCTACATCATTATTTCACTTTCTAAAGGCAAAACATCTGTACCTGTTATTCAATACACTAAGTTTTCCTCTGTTTTACTAATGTGATGTTTCGTCACTGGCTGTGTAATCATCTGGTTTGGCCTCCCTTGGTTTGCCAGAGCCAAATATGCTTGAATTTCTAGAAGGTTCTGATTGGGCAACAGGGTCTTTCTTGGTTCTCGGGAGCAGTTTTAACTTTGGCCTGGCAGCTGCACTTTCTAGAGATGTGATTGAAAATGTGTTAAATTCAACATTTTATTTGTACTTACATAAGCTATTTGTAAGATAGTTCAAATTTTGCTCAGACAATGAAAACCAAACCTAAAATTTCCTACTATCAAAGAAAAAAAAATCCAATGAAAAGCAAAAAACAATCTCTAAAGTTGAAGTAAGGGCTAGATTTATAGCTTGATACCCTCATATTTTAACCCTGCTTCATCCTCTATAGGCGAAATTCTTACTAAGGAATCAACAGGCACCATTTATTATGGTCTTTGGTATAACCAAACTGGTAAACAAAACCAGGGATCAACAGAGACAAGCACTTTGAAATAACTTAATTGCTTAACACCAAAAGTGGCAACCTAATAGGCTAGATCACTTCATGTGACTGCTTTATATGGGAAGTAGTATACAAAGGTCTTTTTATGAAAGATATTTTTACAGTCCTATTGCTGCCTATACCTGGAGATGGCTCCCTCAGCTCTGCTGCTCCTCCACTTCCATCACTATCTCTTCTTGGCCTACGACCACCTCCAAATCCTCCTCCTCTGTGTTCATGTCTGTCTCTGTCATCATTTCTGTAACCACCCCTACCACCATACCCTCTATCATGATCCCTGTATCCATCTCTATCGCCACGGTAACCCCCTCTTCCCCTAGGCCTGTCTTCCCAGTTACCACCACCGCCACCATAGCCGCCGTCCCTGTGGTCATCTCTGTAGCCACCGCCCCCACCGCCACCTCCTCGTCCTCTTCCACCGCGTCCACCACGCCCTGCAATTATATTACAAGTTTCGTATCAAAAATTTATAGAATTAAATGTTACATTAACTAATGAGAGTGCTGTTTATGATGGCTAAAAGTGAAAACCTGTATGTGTATAAAATGTTAATGTGTGCAAATACACACATGATTATAGTGCTATAAGCTTAATGTAAGTCAAAATCACCGACTGGTAGATGGCAAACAAAATTTTTCTTTCTTTGTCAGGCAAGACAAGAGCTTGTATGCTTACCATAGCCACCTTCTTTTTTCCCTTCAGCTACATCTACACGGATTTTCTTATCTTCAAAAATCTGCAAGGGAAGTAATTTACTCAGAGAGGATATTTTCAAAGATCTGCTAGCATTTTTATCATACATCTAATTTTGAAAATCAGATTTAGAGAAAAAATATATAAAAAGTTGTTTTTGACTTTGAATATGTCACAAACACACCAAAAATATATAAAGCTTTGGAAATAATCTTAATAAAGATTGAAGCATATTATTGATTTTTCCCCTGACAATCATAGACCTATAATTCAAATATTAGTATGCAATGACAATTTCAACAAATAATTAGACATACTTACTGCACCATCATAAGCTAAAGCTTCTTTTAATGATTCTAAATCAACAAATTCTACATAAGCAAAACCTGAAAAACAAATAAACATTTATAATTCATTGTCAAAGAAAATGACCTATCAGATTTAGCTTTGAGTTTTTCATGACTATTAATAGTATTAATTACTATTATTACACCAAAATACTTAACAAATGTGAAGTACAGTATTTGTTCAGCTACTTCTTATAGATATAAACATTTGTGCAATTGAATCAAGAGATTCACCAACATTTCAAAACATGTAGAAAAGTAAAGCACAACTGAACAGAATAAACATCAAATACTTTAAAACATTTAAACAAACATATGATACTTTCACTCATAATTATTATACTTTCATTCATACAATAAGTAAATAAAAACACAATTTGCCACTCATGGTAAACAGCAACTAGAACCTCGATTTTACCTACCCTTGAATCTGTCTGTATCTCTATCTCTTACTAATCGGACACTTTTAACCTAAAACAAAAAAATTTATGAGCATGATCAGTATTCTATAGAAAGAACATACCAAAGGTTTACTGCAGTAAAAATTCACATTTTTATTTTTAAAAAATCAAAATAAGAAAGATCAGTATTGGTCTTTTTACATAAAAATTCTTGGAACTCTGAAAAAAACATTCTATTAGACTCAGAATAAGAAAATACTAACATTCTTTGGGAGGGGGGGGGGGGTTGCCTCCACTTACTTGTAAATCTTTGAAAATTACTTCCAAGTCTCCCTGCACCAGCATGTTTGGTAGGTTTCCTACGTAGGCTGTGAAGGGGGCCTCCGTGGGGAGTGGCTTGGGTCCTCGGCTTCTCCCTCCACCACCATATCCACCTCTGCCTCCTCGATCATAGCCACCCCGACCACCGCCTCCGTAGCCACCGCCTCCTCCACCATAACCTCTGTCATAGCCACCCCCATAACCCCTAAAATTGAAAAAAAAAGAAAAAAATTGATCAATTAAAATTTCAATTTTATAATTAAATTATCATAATTTAAACTCAAAGTATTGCCTGGGTTATGTGTTTTCAATAGCTACATATTAATTTTGCTGCAAGTGGCTGTAAATTTTCAGGCAAGTCATTGAAAAGTTAGCAAAAACAATTTAATTTTAGATCATATTTTTAAGGACTGCAAATTATTTGGCAGAGGTGGACATCAATTTTTCCGAAGACAAGAAAAACTGGCAGCAGTAAACACTATAAACCTGATCTTAAAAGTAGCCTAGGTTGGTCATCTCTTAAATAGCCTAAGTCACTTCATGCAGTTTGATTTTTCAAACTTGACAAAGCATCGAACAATTTTCTGTAACTGCACTGAGAAAGTGTTTGCATTTTCTAATTGTTATGAAGAAATGAATGGTTGTTAACAGACATAAGCCTGGGTTAACAAGAATCTGTAGGTCTAGAGTTATCCATCAGAATTTCATTAAAAATCTCAAAATTCTGTGATTCCTCAGAAAAAGCTTGTCTGTGTGAAAACAGTCATACCTAACCCTCACTTAAATAATCAACCTTTAGCACTCCAATTTATAATTTATAGTCACTGTTGAGCTATAATCTAAACTGTATAGCTGCAAGAATCATGGTTCACTATTATTTTGAAATCTGTTCAGTTTTCACTTTTGGTTTACATATGAATCTTTCACAATACTGACCAGTCTAATGCTATCTTTATCTCCATTCCACTAGAGGTTTAAAACAAGTGGTTAAACAAGCTTTCTTCATGTATTTAACTTGACACTTTAAGTTGAACTTGAAATGGATCTTAGCCAATCTACAATGTTTTCATACCCAAAAATCTTTAGCATACTATTCAGCAGTGTGTAACATGTTAAGGAAAGAAATATGACAAAGACATCCAAGACTCTCACTTTTCCAAGATTTTCACTCCATATCCGCTTGAATTGCACCTGTGAGACTAGTACAACACAACAGTGAATGTAAAAATAGATTATTTCGCTCATATATCATATAGTAAATAGAACTGTAACCTAGAAGTGCAAGTCAATGAGGTAGTCACTGGCGATCGAATAGTTAAGGCATTCATTTTAAGTTATAATTGAAAGATTTTTGTCAACATATTGGAACATTTAAAGGGCTGCACAAGCCATCCTGTCATTATCACGGCATATTATCTGAGATCTGTGATGACCTCGGTCCCAGGACGAGCCACGAACCTGTGGGATACGAGATGCAAAAAACAGCACGCACAGATTCTGTGCTTAATATCGACACAAATATCAACCAAAAGGCCTAAGTAACTGCTGATAAAACAGGGGTATATAATGCTTTTATCACATAACATGTGATCGTTTATAACTTTCACGCACCCGCCGTAACCGCCATCTCGTCCTTCACCGTAATCTCCTACATTTTGGTCATAATCCGCCATGGTTTTCAAGAGGAAGTTCAAACTTCGCATGCGCGAATTTTAAGATGACCTTTATTGCAAGTAAAGTGATCAAAAAGGGTGTATTTGATGTAATAAAAATATCACAAATAAGGAAATGAATATATTATACTGAGGAAAATGATATTTTGTGGTCGTTTGGAAAATAAAATTTGCACGATATGTCTACCAAGAAAGGGTATTGTCTTCATTTAGAAAAATATTCGGACGTGCGCTAGCTATCACCAAACAAGCATGGCACTTGTAAAAGATGAAACGTGTAATGCCATGGAGCAAACATCAAAGGCGAAACCAAGCGTTGGACCAGAATTACTGCAATTGTTTTGGGATCTTGCTGATAATGACGATAAAGGAAGAATTGCGGCATCTGTGGCATTGTTGAGTATTTTGAAAGCAAGCAAGAAAAAAGATCAGAAGGTTCGTATCTACAGACTCGCCAAAGTCGTAACGTTAAAACTCGCACGTTGTAGTGTAGAGGAGGTGTTTTCGAATACATATATAAATTATAAAATTCGTTTTGAAATATTAAATCGATCTTAATCGTTGTGTTTCTTTTCTTTCTGCTTTTTTTTCATCAAGGTGGACCTGTCTAGTGTGGTGTTATTACCCTGCTAGTGCTATATTTAATGTTGTTTTTAGGTTCATTGACCAATCAAAGTGACAGTCGAGTGTGGCTACATGTCCCAACTGGACACCTAAGTTGCCTTTGCCAACCAGTGTGATAAATAAATTCACACCCAGAATGCCAGATGTTTAAGTCAGGATTCCATTATATGTATAAGAATATAAATATATTTTAATTCTTTTCATGAGGAGTCAGAACTCAACTATACAGTCCAAAGATTGGTACGTGGATTATCATCGAGCCGTAAGTTTGCACGACCAGGGTACACATTAGCATTGACACAGGTAAAGATATATGGAGATGATGAAATTTTATTCTATTTTATTTATTTATTTTTTTAATGAAAGCTTCTTGCTCTACAGTGACACTTATGGTTCATTATTACCATTAAGAAAAGTGTTAATTACGTGGTTTAAATACAGTATGGTTCTTTAAGATGATGAAATTTGAGAGGGAAACTACCATAGGGCAGTAGATGATGTTTGATCACAAGTTTGTTGTTGCAGATATTGAGACAGTTCAAAGAGGTAACTGTAGCACAAATTCTGAAGGAAGCAAAGGAGCAACTTAGAATCACAAAACAAGAAACAAAAGCTGTAAGTTGAGATTGTATAAAAAAGGAACTTTGTTAGATATATCACCATGATGTATATTTCACATTACGTATCTAAGTGTGACTATGTAAAATATTTTGTAAATCATAAAAATGGCCATTTGCCATACAGCAAATTTTCAATTGTGTATAAGATAGTTCTGTTAATGTTAGTCTGGAAAAGTATAGAATTTTGATGTGATTAATTAAGTTTTTTACTTTTTGTGTTTTTGCTGTCTTAGGAACAAGGTCATATATATTTGGGACAAGTTCTGGGATATTTGGCTCTGATTCAGGCTGACAGGTTGAATGAGGTTTGTAACGTTTCTGTATGTAAGGGCAAGTTAAGTAAAAAATAATTGAGAGGCAGTCGTAGTCCCAGAAACAGACATGAATATAGACATGAATAGATATATATATACTTCATTATGTAAATGAGGGCTTTAATTTGCAGGCATCAAAAGAGGAAGTTCAGGAAGTGACAAGTTCTTTGAAAAAGTTGAGTTCAGAAAAAAGTTACCTGCGACAGATATGCTACCAGGCACTAGCAGAGATGGGAGAGAAAGTAAGTGTAGGTGATATTGACAAGACACACTCAGTACTTGTTGGGCTTAAATATAGAACCTGACAGCACATTTATTCCCATTTAGCATACATTGTTTAAAGATAAAATCCATGTTATTTTTACTAAAATGCACAACATTTTTAATTATAAATATTTTTTTAATGTTGTAGGTGCCTAAGAAGAGGTTTGCTAAGACTGTATTTCCCATCCTTCAGCAAGAGTTGGCAGCAGGCATGGAGCAGTGTACAGCTGATAGTCTGCTGCTTCTCCTGAAATTATCAAAGTCACAGCCAGTTAGTATAGAAATGCCTTTTGTGCCTTTAAGGTTAAAAAGACATTCAGGACTTGGCCTAGGAACTAGATTTTAATAATTTACCTAGGCTCAATTTGCTTATAATTTTTAATTTTTAGAATTAAACATATTGAAGAAAGTGATGTAGATTATTAACATTTTCTTTATGCATTTATTTCAGAAAGTGATTAATGAAGATTTCTTGAAGGAGCACTGGAAGTTTGACAAATTGATCAACTCCAAAAACATAAGTTTTCTTGCTGATGTCATGATGGTATCTATGACTAACATAACTGTACAGCAAAATACATAATGCTGTAAATAAAAATAAGAGATATCAACCAGCATTTTAGAAATCACTTAGGTGTTTAACATATAAAAATGACATTTTCACATTGTGAGTATATTTTTTCGAATTTAATGTGTGCTGTCAATAAGTTATTGATATGTAATATCTCACTGTTTCAGCAATCCACTCAGTGCCACCCAGTTATCCATTCTGTTTGTGTGGACATAGTGAAGGAAATGGCTGCTGACCAAGACTTATTTAGTACTTTCTGGAAGGAAGCTATAGATGGTATGTCTGTGTATTTTCTTTCTGCATGCTTTTGAAGTTTGTGTTCTGTTAGTCCCTTTTCACATTAAGTTATATGCTTCCGTAATGTTTATAGGTGCACTTTAATAGGTCCAAACGTGATTATACTACCACATTCACAATTCTTTGCAAAATCACTTTCTGCTGTTAGTCAATCAGCTAGTTAATCAGCTAGCCATGACAAGCACTGAAGCTGTGGCTTTGTGACTACTCTCTTAATTTGATAGAGAGGTCCTTAAGTTATCAGTCTATCAAATGTTTTCTAATGTTTAAATGTACAATACAATTTGGTGGGAGAAGATGTTGAATCCTCCATGCTCTGAAGTGCCACTGATATGACTAATATTATTGTTTGGATCATTTGTTGTTGGTGACCACTGACCAGTATTGAAAATGTGTGCAGTTTATATTCCAGGAAAATACGGTGGAAATTGCAACCTCATGAAATTAAAGACAATTTATTATTTTTAATATTATTTGCAGATACATTATTAGAGCACCATCAACCTGCAAAGAAATATTTAGCCTTCCATTTGGTAAAGCAAGCTCTTCACACCAGCACATCTGTAGAAATGGTGGGTATTTTTAAAACATTTAAAATGTTTTCCTCCTACAAGTTAGGACTTCATTGTAACAAGAATTACTTACAGGGAAACTAATTCTGTGATGCAGTTAAAAATGAATATCTTGAATTAATATTCTAATGAGAACTTGGTAAAACTTGGAAACAAGAATATCCTCAATTCTGAGTCTGTGTAACAAGGACATTTATTTTTATAGCAGAATTAAATCTTCAAAATATTATATTCATTTATCACCTGTTTTTCTGCATTCCCTGCACTGTCATCTATATAATATTTGCATGTCAAATGTATATTTTGTAGGTAAAGACCATCATGAGCCCAAGACTGATCTCATTATTGTTGAAAACTCTGCCTGACAAGTCTAAAGTCGTATGTGAGGCTTCGAAACAGCTGGTGAGACTTTATTCCTCCATCTGCCAAGCATTATTTGTTGCTGCCGTAATGATTTTAATTTCAGAAATGTGATTGAGCACTGATTTTTGTGTAAATAAAAAATGTTTTGTAGCATTGACATATAAAAAAACTTGAATTATTTTTGACTATCTATTATATGCAATAGAGAAAAGTTTTTAAAATTGTTAGAATTAATGAAATTCTGACCTTTGATAATTCATAAATCGAGACGTGTAGAAGTTTAACATTTGGCTTACTTGGCATCATCCTTTATTTGTGTGTACTTCTTTTCAGGCTAATGACATTGTTAACTGGGCAATTGGTTGTCAAAATGGAGATCTTCAGCTGGCACTGCTGACATCCCTTCTGTCTCCACCAGGTCTGCTAAGGTTTGATGATGTCACCAAGACTAAAACTGTGGCCACCATCTCTCAACATGTAAGTGGAAGATACTTTTTTAATGAAATTTTCTAGGTATGGGAAAACATGAATTTATATTAAATATGATGATTGTGAGATATTATGTAGATGCCTTTTTTTTCAGATTCGTTGCAAATATGTGAGAAAAATTCCATTTACTATTGCAGACCTCTGTTTAAAAAAAATATACTTCTCATGTTGCGAGTGGGTGAATAGATTTCACCATATTTTGTATTTAGCATCCTGCTTGCATAAATGTGATTTTTATGTACAGACACAGATGTGTCTGTACATATTGCCATCACCTGCTTCTGTCGTCGCCGATGCCGGTGTACCATGAAAATCTGACTCCCCTAAAATGTGACTCCCCAGTCAGATTTTCATTATGAAAATGTGACTCCCCAGTCAGATTTTCATAATCAAAATGTGACTCCCCCTATGAAATTTTGACTCCCCCCAAAAAAAACATTCATTAATCTCATTTTATTTGAGTAAATGACTATGATTTTGTAGTATGCATAATGGATGATACATTGGCACTTTTTTGTAGTTTGCAGGTGAAAATTTTCATAAAAAAAAAGAAAAATTAAAACTGTGCACATAATGAAAATGTGGTTCCCCTATGAAAATTTGACTCCCCTACAAAAAAACATTCATTAATCTCTAATTAATTTAGTATATGACTGTGATCTTGTAGTATGTAAAATGGTTGATACATTGGCACATTTTTT